TTCTTCTTCTTCTTCTTCTTCTTCTTCTTCTTCTTCTTCTTCTTCTTCTTCTTCTTCTTCTTTCTTCTTCTTCTTTCTTCTTCTTCTTTCTTCTTCTTCTTCTTCTTTCTTCTTCTTCTTCTCTTTCTCCTTCTTCTTCTTTTTTTCCCCCTGGTTTTTCAAGACAGGGTTTCTTTGTAGCTTTGAAGCCTGTCCTGGAACTACCTCTTGTAGACCAGGTTGGCCTCAAACTCACAGAGGCACCTACCTCTGCCTCCCAAGTGCTGGGATTAAAGGCATGTGCCACCACCACCTGGCTCACTTTCTATTTTTGAAAATTTATTTATTGAATGTATATTAGTGTATTGCTTGTATATATTCTGTGTGAGGGTGTCAGATACCCTAGAACTGTGAGTTATAGACAGCTGTGAGCCGCCATGTGGGTGCTGGGAATTGAACCCTAGTCCTCTGGCAGAGAAGCCAGTGCGCTTAATTACTGGGCCATCTCTCCAGCCCCTACTGGTAGTCTTACTGTTTCTACATATTTTTTTGCTTGTTTTTTGAGACAAGGTTTTTTTGTGTAATAGCCAGGAGCTAGCTCTTGTAGACTGGACTGGCCTCAACTCACAGATCCGCCTGCCTCTGCCTCCCGAGTGCTGGGATTAAAGGTGTGCACCACCACCGCCTGGCTCTACTTACACTTGTTTTGGTTTTTGAGATAGTGTTTGTCTGTGTAGCCTTGTCTGTTCTGGAACTTACCCTGCAGGCTAAGACATCTACCTGTCTCTGCCTGCTGAGCTCAGTTTACTTAAGTACAATTGCGGGGGGAGATCGGAGCCTGGTAAACCTCATCAAGTTTGAGAGACTTCCAGAAGGTGTTTACTTCTGTCTTGGTTTTTCGAGACAGGGTTTCTCTGTAGTTTTGGAGCCTATCCTGGAACTAGTTCTTGTAGATCAGGCTGGTCTCGAACTCACAGAGATCTGCCTGCCTCTGCCCCCAGAGTGCTGGGATTAAAGGTGTGCCTCACTGCTGCCTGGCCATTTTTGCTTTTTTTTTAAACTATTTTTGGGGGAGAGGGGGGATTGGTTTTTAGTGTCTATGTAGCCTTGGATTGCCTGAAACTAGCTAGGTAGACCAGGTTGACCTTGAATCACAAGGATCTGTGTGCCTCTGCTCCCTACGCGCTGGGATTAAAGAACTGTACCACAATGGCTGGCACAGACTGTTGTCTTATCTCTTCTTTAACACCCATTTCCTTTACAGCTTCACTCCAAACAAGTTCGAATCTTGGAAGTAACTCCTATCTAGCACCATCCTCCTTAGGGACTTTCTGTTAATACAACAAATGCTAGTGGCTTCTATATCTCCTGTCTTCTCCCTCTGCACAGGCCAAAGAGACTTATACCTCAGGCGCATCGAGGAACACACCAACACTTTCATTCAACTGGAGCAGTGGTTTACAGCCTCTGGCCAGACTCGAGTCACTGTGGTTGGGCCACTCCGAGTCAAGCAGTGGCTGAAGGATATGTTTCAGGGCATGAGTAGCGAGAACCTTTACCTCCATCTGCTAGGTAGGTGACGGCAACAGAATTGGGATTGAGGGGTTGATTGCTTGTAAAATAGTTGTACAGCACCATGAATTCTCATTTGGCCTCCTAGGAATATGGGGTTCCAGATGTGTCTCAAAATCCATTCCAAGGGAAATGGTTTTAGGTGGCAGCCAATTTTTTTTTTATTGCATGAAGTCCCTAAGGGAGGGATGAATAGATGGCTTGGGAAGGCCTGGGCTGATGTCTTCCCCTATTGTGTCTCCAAGAAAGTCTTGTTCTTAGTCCTGAGTCTCACTTCACCATTCCCTCCTCCAGGCCTGAGTATGTTGCGGCATGTCCAGGAGCGGCCCCTGACCAGCGCTGACTTGGAGGACTATTTCAGGACGCAGTCGTAACTGGGGTCTGTCACAACCTAACAGGATGACAGGGACCACCTCAGACTGATCTTGCCTGGGAGAGCAGGATGTGAAAACTTTCGCCAGCGTTTGAGAAAGCATGGAGAATACGAAAGGGACTTGAATGGGGGCACTAGCCTGTCACTCTAGTGCGTGTGTCTGACGGAAGTTTCCTAAGCCCACCAACAGTGCTGTGGTGGCAAACATGCAATAAATAAGTTCCCTGGTGTGAAATACCTCTTCTGCTAATTTATTTCCTTCGAATAAACTTGTCCAGTATCTCTGCAAGCTGTGTTCCTAGGTCTGGGCAGACTATATTGTCTCCTAGGAGCTCAGGAACAAGATACCGGTTTTTTTTTTTTCTTTTCCTGGTAGGCTACACTCTGTGCCAAAAACACAGGTTCTGTAGGAAGCTTAGGAGTCTATCCTTAAATTTAAGGTCCACAGGGTAATGCATTTGTCGAAGTAGTCAGGGTGGTCAGTTCACTGAGCCTGGTAAAAATGAACTGCCCGAGTTATCCCTGACTGTCAGTTGTTCGGGGGTCGGGGTAGACTTGGAAAGTGGTTTTGGGGATCCATGAGTAAGTTAATAACAAGAGTTTCCTGACTCTGTTCAGAAGAGTACCACCCTTCTGTTGATCTCCACCAAACGTATAGCTGGCCAAGCATTTCTTTCCTTAATCGCCTCTTTATACTGCTCTTTGGCAACCTGCAGCTTACAAGGGACTCCATTGGAGAGAGAAGCATCATGTCTTAGACAAGAGTGGAGTGGAAGAAATGTCAGACAATTGCTGAAATTGGCACATCCTTTGGAACTAAGTTCCTTAGTTCCACATTGCCAACTGCTGGACAGGAAGTGGTTCAGTTTCACACTAAAAACACTTCTGAGAGCCTGAATGGAGGGAATAACCTAACTACTCTCAAAGGGGAATATCATTTTTTTGTTTGATAATTTCACATTTTTATTTTTTGAGGTAGATTTTTTTTTTCTTGTGTAACAATCCTGACTGTCCTAGAACTCATTTTGCAGACCAGCCTCTGCCTCCCAAGTGTTGGGATTAAAGGTGTGCCCCCCTGGCAATTTTTTGCTCTGTGTGTGTGTGTGTGTGTGTGTGTGTGTGTGTGTGTGTGTGTATACAGGCCAGAAGAGGGCAGCAGATTTCATTACAGATGATTTTTGAGTCACTATGCGGTTGCTGGGGATTAAACTCAGGACCTCTGAAAGATCAGTCAGTGTTCTTAACTGCTGAATCACCTCTCCAACTCAACATTTGAAAGCTTAGGAGGCAGAGGAAAAACAGACTGAGTGGTTGTTTAGGAATATGTGTATATATGTATGCATGTAAGGACAGCTAAGGAAAAAAGGCCATGAATTTGAAAGACCAAGGAGGCATATATGATCTGGAGAGAGAAAAGGGAAGGGGTAAAATGATGTAATATCACCTAAAAGAAAAGACCAGATGTAGTGGTGCACACCTTTAATCCTAGCACTAGGGAGGTAGAGGCAATGTGATTGCTGCCATTCAAGCCAACCTGGATAGTTCCCATCCAGCCAGCGCTACATAGACCTTGTCTCAAAAAAAAAATGCATAAACGCGATTTTCTCCTTCACATCAGTCATGAGCAAGTCAACATTCTTCTCCAGGTTGCAGTCTAGGTCTGTAAATCCCAGTCCGAATGGTTTGTGTGCTCTAAGCACCTAGGTATAGTGACCTTCTGAAGAGGATGTGGCAGTGGTGCCCCTGGTTACACTGCAGCTTCCCTGATGCCTGGTCATCTCTGGCAAGTTACTGATCTCTCAGTATACATAGATTTCATGATCTCCAACATAGCGAGGAGAATAGAAATCACCTCGGGCACGTTACCCTTTTCTTTTACTGTCTTTGTTATTTGGAGACAGGGTCCCCCTATGTAGTGCCCAGGCTATCCTGGAGTTCACAGAGATCTGCCTGCTGAGTGCTGGGATTAAAGGCACGTGCCACCACACCTTTACTGCCTTCATGAGATCAACATTTGGCGTTTGCTCTACTCTGAATCCTTAGCTCCAGCAGCTAAGGCTACAGCCAATCGGATCAGGTACTCTGTGATGCCGCTGCTCTGAGAATTCATGCTTGACTGGTGTTGGTTTCAGAAGGTGCCAGGACAGCATTTTTTATTCTTCATTTGTCTCCCTCCTGTGTCGCAAGTAATTAAAGAGGTAGGCTGTGTGAGTGGTCACTGGCGGTTGTCATGTGGGTGATAAAGGAGACACCAGCAGTGGCCAAGGGACAGGAGACACAAGACCTTGGCAGCTTTATGATGGAGTCGAATAGAAGATAGCATGTCTTTATCTCTAGCCTTATGAGATTGGCTTGTTTCTATGCTTGTGGTTGCTTCACTAGTATTTCTTTCTCTCCCTCCTTTCTTCTTTTTTTTTTTTCATTTTTAAATTTTGGAGACAGGGTTTCTCTGTGTGCCCCTGGCTGTCCTGGAACTCACTCTGTATGTAGACCAGGCTGGTCTCATGATCACATCTGCCTGCCTCTGGAATGCTGGGATTAAAGGCATGTCCCATCACTTTGGGCTTCATTAGTGTTTTTCCCTGTTCCTCTTTTCAGCAAAGTTATTAGTATGTTTTAAGTCAAATACCTCCAAAGTGCCCCATTAATTTTTATAATATAGTTGGGGTAATATGACAGCAATCATTTTTTTGGAGAGATTATGTGGAGTTTCAATATGCAGCTGAGGGTAATGTTCCAGTTTGGTTTTCAATGTTTTAATAAAAACCATGACCAAAAGCAAAACACACCGGAGAATAAAAATGAAATACATCTGAGAAACCTCAATAATTTAGAATTAGATGAGCTATAAGGAGAAGTCTTAATGTTAATGAAAATCTAAAAATTTCAAAGATATACTTGCATCAGACTTGAAGTATTTGAAACCACGAAAATATTACCTGCCACTTGAAAAGACCAGCAGCCCAATTTTTACCAGTAGTTAAGGCAGAATAATTGTATGTTTGAATTTTTAAGAGGTAGTTTTGAGGCATTGCTAAAGTAGTTCCAAAAATATCTAAAAGTATTTTTGAAATTTTATTAAATATTATGTGTATAGGAGTTTTGCTATCATACATGTCTGTGTTCAGTGTTAATTTTGTGCCTGCAGAGGCCAGAAGATGCTGTTGGATCCCCCAGAATTGGAGTTACAGATAGTGGTGAATTGTCATATGGGTGCTGGGAATTGAACCCCTGGATCCTTTATAAGAGTAGTCAGTGATTCTTCTTCTTCTTCTTCTTCTTCTTCTTCTTCTTCTTCTTCTTCTTCTTCTTCTTCTTCTTCTTCTTCTTCTTCTTCTTCTTCTTCTTCTT